ATCTTAACGTAACTAATGACAACGGAATAGATTTGAATCAATGATATATTAAAGGACAATATTGATGTCAATCATTATTACATATGTGATAGAACTGGTTAAACACGTTCCAAATATAATTTTAACACAGAGATTAAAGGACAATATTGATGTCAATCATTATTACATATAAGATAGAACTGGTTCAAAAGGTTCCAAATATAATTTTAACACAGAGATTAAAGGACAATATTGATGTCAATCATTATTACATATGTGATAGAACTGGTTAAACACGTTCCAAATATAATTTTAACACAGAGATTAAAGGACAATATTGATGTCAATCATTATTACATATGTGATAGAACTGGTTCAAAAGGTTCCAAATATAATTTTAACACAGAGATTATAGGACAATATTGGTGTCAATCATTATCACATATGTGATAGAGCTGGTTAAACTTTTAACACAGAGATCATTTTTACGATAGATGCGTAATGAAGCTTTCAAGAAACCGAAGGGATGAAAGCAAAAGTAATGAGTGATAGCAGATTCACAGGCATATTTCTGCTCACTAGCAATTCCTTTGAAGACCAAAAGTTGTTATGTGATACTATGATAGGATATCTGACAATTCAAAAAAGTAATTGAATGTCACTTGATAAGAGAAAACGAAAATGGAAATAGTTCGTACATTCTCTCATTTTTATTCTTTCTACACTTTCTAATTCTGCCCAGAATTTTCGATTCCCCAGTTCAACCTAGTGCGTTTTCTCCGGTTTCCTCCACTGCTAAAGACTCCTACGTGCAATCAAATTATTTAAATAAAAATTGAACCATGTTAGTCCCGAAATGACCTAGTTTGTGTGGGGTGGATCTTAAACACTTTCTCTCTCTCTCTCTGGGTCCTCCAATCTCCTCCCACTGCTAAAGACCCCTATGTGCAAGCGAATTATTGAAATAAAATTGAACCATGTTAGTCCCAAAATGACCTAGTTTGTGTAGGGTGGACCTTAAACACTCTCTCTCGCTCTCTCCCTCTTTCTCTCTAGTTTGTGAGTGGATGTAAAACACACTCTCTCTCTCTCTCTCTCTCTCTCTCTCTCATTAAGAATAGAAGTCCATTGATTGAAACAGTTCTTTAATTACAACAACAAGAAACTACTGATGATAGCAGCTGTTCTCAAATCTTTCATCATCACTGACAATTTAATTGTTCCATACTTTTTATTTCTTTCCTAAAGCTTCCAATTGAATCATCAAGAGCAATGAGCTTTACGAATAATGAAATCATTAACAAAAAGATACCAGAACAGATGTTAAAGAGAGAGAGAAATGGGGTTTAACGTCTATTCAACACAAACTAAGTCATTTCGGGACTAACATATGGTTTAATTTTATCTCAATAATTCGCATGCGCGTAGGGGTCTTTAGCAGTGGGAGGAAACCGGAGGACCCAGAGAAAACCCACAAGGTTGGAGAGGTGACCCAACTCCTTGTCCGTACAACCGAGGAATCGAAACCACGCCAGTTGACTCAATGACAGATCTTATGATACAGCGTGCACATGCTAACCATTCGCCCCCCCCCCTCCCCATGTTAAAGGAGCTAAACCTCCAACTCAATATCTTTCACAATATTGAAAATAAAAAACATGAATTCGCTTTCAAAATTGGTCCATTATGCAACAATCCCTCACGCCATCCAGCACACCTGTTATGTAACAATGAAAAACTCTTCCAGATCCTTCAAAATTTTGAACTATCAAAAGCGAAATGAAATAGGATCTGTGTTTTAACCAGATTGAGGTAATGGCATGCATTAGCTGTATGGAGTATGCCCGTCTTCATTAACCCAGTCAGAGCAGAACAGTAGGACGTTAAACACCATTTAATTTCATTCAATTTTCCTACTTTTCTACGCCAATCGAGCTATGTTGGAAGTTTTCAATGGGCTGTGGCATTTCTTCATCGAATTTCAACTGTGAAGGACTCTTTTATGTTCACGCCAGTATGTACACAGGAGCTTGTTTTTGCTTTGTCCCAGAACAGTAGGATGTTATAAATACCATTTATTTTGCTGTGAATCTGTCAGTTTTTACATTTCTGAATGAATCTCTGATCACATGTACAATGTACATGTAAGTAGTTCACTGAATTCCACTGCTGATTTTGTGATTGGTACTCAAGATGACCCACTGAATAACTGAATATTTTATTCAATAATACTGAATGAACTTTTGATTATGTTTAAGTGCTTTGGTTGACATCAGTGCTATTTTTCAGATTGCTACTCAAGATTAACTATTGAAAAACTGTGTATTTATTTAATAATGATTTATTCAACTGAATGGAGTCTAATTACATGCAAGAAGTTTGCTGATTCGGAGGTTGGCACTGGAGATCACCAATTCAAAATATACCATGAATATTCTGATCATTTTTTTCTATGTATTTGTAAACAATTGATGGAAATGAAATGAAAAGGGGTTATAACTTCCTACTGTTCTGCTCCGAACTGGGCTAAAGAAGACAGGCATACAAAGTGTGCTATGAGGGAAATTATGCCCGGACAGCGGAACTACGGCCTACTCTTATATTGAATTCCAAAAAGTCAGGGGATCTTTTACGTGCACGCCAATGTGTACACAGGACCTAGGTTTTTTGACCCATCCGAATGACTAGACAGCTGTCCTTGTCAGGCCCTCCTTCCTGCATTACTGACAAGGGGGAACCACACCGGAAAATTTGCAGAGATTGAACACCTGACCTCCAGGCTAGCGAGCCAGCGTCTTACCCACTTAGCCACCGTGATTCCCTAAACAATTGAAGGACACAGTCATTAATGTATTGTACGAAATTATAATGATCTCTTGAATGCGTACATATGATATCAATAGAGAACAGGAGACTCATACATTGATGAAATCCTGTTTGCATTATTTGAGCATCTCAAAGGATAAAAATAAAAAAATAAAAAAATAATAATTGGACCTAACATTGGTGACAGAGACAGAAATGGGGTTTAACGTCCACTCGACACAAACTAGGTCATTTCGGGACTAACACATGGTTCAATTTTATTTCAATAATTCGTTTGCTTGTAGGGGCCTTTAGCAGTGGGAGGAAACCGGAGAATCCGGAGAAAACCCACAAGGTTGGACAGGTAACCCTACCCTTTGTCATGTACAACCATTGAATCGAAACAATGCCAGTTGACTCAATGACAGACCTTATGATACTGCGTGCACATGCTAACCAGTCGGCTATCCACCCCCTCTCCCCTCCTAACATTTGTATCTGGAAAACATATGCTATACAATTAAAGGGCAAAGTCATTAATCAACTTGGAGCATCCCTAAGGAAAAAAAACAGTTAAAGGAGCTAAATCGCTAACATTTGGGACCTAGAAATTCACAAAAGTGGGTCGCAACGCATATAATACTGTAATATGAATGTATATAAACTGATTTACATTTAATGGTTTCCGTTTTTACTCCAATTTCAAATCAGTTATGTCCCGCGAAATAAGTCAGCAATCTCAATCGAGTGCAAATTTCTAGCGTCTAGTTATTCTAGTCTACATAACTCCATTTGATTTGGTGCAATGTGTCTAGCCTCGTCCCTCGAGTCTCTCAATACAACTGGGGCTGAAGCGCATTATGGTACACGATTTTGAGTTACGGACTTACGTCCTTTAAACCTAACATCTGTATCTGGAAAACATGTGCTGTACAATTGAAGGACAAAGTCATTAATCAACTGTTGCAATTGACACACATGCTTGTTTATAATGATCTCGTCAATGTGTGACATCAATAACATGTTGACAAAACCCTTTTTGGCTCCTCTGAGCATCTCAAAGGAACAAAACATCAGAACATAACATCTGTATTTTGAAAATATACATCCTTCCTCTTCATAGATAGATAATGATGATTACGGTTAATAAGGTTGGAGACACATATGTGACGGAAATGAAATTGTTAGATTTTCTATAACAGTAGGAAATATATTAGCTGGTTACTGGTGGTGGCAGTAATTACCTGTCAATAGTATAACATCTCATCAGGAGCATGCTGTCTACAATATTGTACTGTTAACATATAAGGAGCACTTACTCAAACTTTAAAGTACCTGTAGTAATAATATATAAGGACCGATGTATGTCCTAAGTGCTAAGTCGTAAGTCCTTCTGACTCCACTATACATGTATAACAATGCAGCAGCAGCTATACTCCCACGACACTAAGCTATAGAATACATAATTCTTCTAACTTGTTAATTACCAAAAAAAGTATTCTCTTATCGTTATCAAGTACACCCAACCCCTTTTTTATGGTGGGGCAACCTACCATTCGCCCACATATTGCAACCCTTTTTTTTATGGTGTTGGCGCACCCAACCCCTTTTTTATGGTGCAACCCTTCTTTTTTATGGTGTAACACCCTATCTTGAAGCAATACTTGAGGAATGCTCACTAGTCTGCGGGTTCATTAGTCCACCGATATCTACATGTATTATTAGGGTTAGGGTTCGGATTAGTTTTTTTTGATACCCATATTTATAGTATTTCTTATAGTGGCGGACTAGTGAACCCGCGGACTAGTGAACCCCTCTTCAATGAAATGAAATGAAATGGGGTTTAACGTCCTACTGTTCTGCTCCTATACTGGGCTAATGAAGACGGGCATACGCCATACAGTGTGCTATGAGAGAAATTTTGCCCGGGCAGTGGCACTATCGCCTACTCTTATATCGAATTCCAACTGCCAAGGGATCTTTTACGTGCATTCCAATGTATACACGGGACCTCGGTTTTTCATATAATCATAAGGACTAGACAGCTGTAATTGTCAGGCCCTCCGTCCTGCATCACTGACAAGTGGGAAGAACGCCGGAAAATCTGGATGAACTTTCTCGGCCAATGCAGGGATCGAACACCCGACCTCCAGGCTAGCGAGCCAGCATCTTACCCACTTAGCCACCGTGATCCCCCCCCCCTCTTCAATACTTACCCATATAACAATGCAGCACCTGCTATACTCCCTCCACACTGAGCTATAGAATACATAATTCCTCTTAACGGAGTCACTTTACATGTTAACGCCATCACAAGACTCACCACTGGATTGAAGTGAGCGCCAGAAATGTGTCCAAAACACTGGACCAACGTAGCGAGCGTAAATCCAAAGCACAGAGCAACAAGTACGACTTGATTGCTAGGGTCAATGCTTCTACCACAAGTCAGGGTGGAACTACATCCCAAAAACACATAAAGCATTGTTCCAAGACATTCGGAAATCACGGCACGCCAGAACTCTATGGTGCGGATTTCCACCCGCATAACCATGTGAGCAACTTCGCACAAACCCAGTTTGCGATAGTTTCTAGGAGGAAGTTGACTATTATTTACTTGAGAATAATACGCCATCTTGGTTCGTAGTTCATATGTTGAGTTGTATTCGTTGTCATCGGCGTCCAGGGTAAGGGGAACCTGGGACATGAAGAGCAATTCTACACAATTGACCCTGTTTGTTATACACAACACTACACAAATATTAGAAAATTTGATTTTTTTTTCTCAGGAAATCGCAAACTGTCGTCGAAGATACTGCCAATATTATGGATATGCGACACAACACTCTGACATATCACACTGTCAATAATTTCTGAGGGTTTTTTTTCTCAGGAAACTGTCGTCTAAGCAAATGACAATGTTATGGATATTAGACACACAATTATCTTTAAAATAATTTCTGAGGATTTTTTTTCTCAGGAAATTGCAAACTGTCTAAGCAAATGACAATGTTATGGATATGCAACACTCTGACATATCAGACTGTCAGTTGTTGCTCCAATAATTTCCACTGTATTTAATATTTCTATGCTGACTGCAACGAATCATCCCTTTTCAATGTATTCCACGTTATTTCTTTTACTTAATACATGATTCTCAACTGCTTAATTTGAGTGAATGGCTAATTAATATTCTTCAAATACAGAACATTTCAGTCCTGTTTTTGATCAACAGCAGGGTTCAATTACTGAATCCATATTCCATTCTAACCGCAGTTAAACAGCTAACAATGAGCAGGTTGTATATAATTAAACTGCTTTTGTAATATTTGTTATAAAGGGATTTCGCACCTTCACCCCTTTTCTATAATTAAATATTTCCATACACCATATAACTTAAATCCATAATATTGTGGATGCGAGGTCACCATTAATTCACATTCTTTCTTGAATTAAAACATTCTGTATACCATTTAATCTTTAATATTATGTGTATGTCAGGCAATGCGTAATTCTGATATTCTGTGATCAATTTAAATTTTCCCAGCAGGATTCATATAATAAATGGTTTTTGTGATATTTATTATAAAGGAGAGATTTCAAACCTTCACATCTTCTTGGAATTAAATTCTTTCTGTACTGCGTAATTCTGATATTCTGTGATTAATTTAAATTTTCCCAGCAGAATTTATATAATAAAATTTTTTTGTTATATCTATTATCAAGGAGAGATTTCACATTTCACACCTTCACACCTTTCTGGGATTAAATTTCCAAAGACTATATGATGCTAATTATTGTGTATGTCCAGTAAAACGCAATTCAATAGTTTATGTGATTAATTTAAATATTCCTAACAGGATGCATATAATAATTTGTCTTTGTGATATCTATTATAAAGGGATTTCACACCTTCACACCTTTTCTAGAATTATATCTTTCCGTATATATCATATTATTTCAATCCTTAATATGATGTATGTCCAGTAACGTGTAATTCTGATAGAATGTGTTTACTTTAAATAATTCCAAACACTACATTTTTTTTGGAATTAATTCTTTCTCTACGCCATATAATCCTTAATATTGTGTGTATCCGGTAACACGTAAATCTGATAGTCTGTGAGATTAATTCAGATATTCTCAGACAGGGGTTAACATGCTACAAAAAGAACAAACTATCTTTTAGTAACAATTCAACTTCTTCCAACACAAAAATAACTCTGTGGAAACTGGATATTCAAACTTGATTCAAATGACAGAAGTTTAAAAGAGTAATATATTTTTAAACAACTCTGTCTTAAAGCAAGAATGTAGCGTTCCACATCTTTCCCACTGTCTCTATATTGATCCTGGAGTTCAAAGAATCTCTATTTGATTCTCACATCTTCCTTTTCACCACACAATTTACTGACAAAACAATACTGCTGACACTACTGAGACTCAAAACAACTCGATCAGCTCACAATCGTCTTAAAATCAGATGTCTTCGGATAAAACTCTTTGTTTTTCCATTCATTCCCACGGAAGTTCCTGTTAAAATAATAGAGAGAATATTAAGCCTCTGATAGAGAAAAAAAAAGGTTTCACAAAATACTTTAAGATGCTTTATGTTTTCGGTTAAAACTCTTGTTTATTTTATTCATTCCCACAGAAGTTCCTGATATCATAATAGAGAGAGCGCATTAAGCTCCTGATAAAAACGAAAGTTTCACAAAACACTTAAAGATGCATTATGTAAGATTTAGAAAAAGAACTGGCCGATCTTGCTATAATAGTTCCAAAATAGATAATGATAAATAAATAGAGAGAGAAAGAGAGAGAGAGAGAGAGAGAGAAATCGGGTTTAACGTCCACTCGACACAAACTAGGTCATTTCGGGTCTAACATATGGTTTAATTTTATTTCAATAATTCACTTGCGCGTATGGGTCTTTAGCAGTGGGAGGAAACCGGAGGACCCGGAGAAAACCCACTAGGTTGGACAGGCGACCCTTCTCCTTGTCACGTACAACCGGGGATTCGAAACCACGCCAGTTGACTCAATGACAGGCATTATAATACAGCGCGAACGTGCTAACCATTCGGCCACCCAACCCCCCATGAGTGTTTGAAGTTTTAAACAATATAGTCCTGATTGTCAAGTACCAGTGCTACCATAATAAACCAAGTCTCGATTATAAATTTAATTGTTAAATTTTAAATGACAAGAGGGTTCTATTAATCCATTAATATCTAAATGATCCCATGACCTAGAGATTTGATTATGGGGTTGTCATGTGAACCAATGTCTAATTAATAATTTACATAACATTTCAGAGAGAGAGAGAGAGAGAGAGAGAGAGAGATAGAGGGAGAAATGGGGTTTAACATCCACTTGACACAAACTATGTCATTTCGGGACTAACACATGGTTCAATTTCATTTCAGTAGGTCTTTAGCTGTAGAGGAGGAGACCGGAGGACCCAGTGAAAACCCACGAGGTTGGACAGGCGACCCTACTCCTTGTCACGTACAACTTGGGAATGGAAACCACGCCAGTTGACTCAATGACAGACCTTATGATGTAACATGCACGCGCTAACCTGCAATAGGCAGATGTAGCTCTTACATAATGCATCTTTAATAATTCTTGTATCAAGTTATTGCAAACTATGGGCAATTTCAAGTAATTTGCTATTATGTGCAATTTGTTGCTTAAGTTTTTAAATCATCAGTAAAGTATTACAGCAAAATATGTTTAGACTTTTTCTTCATGCCAACTTAATAGCAATGTATAATTTCAGACATCAAGGAGAGTGAGAGAGAGAGGGGGGAGAGGGAGAGAGAGAGGGCTTAAGTCCACTGACACAAACTAGGTCATTTTGGGACTAACATATGGTTCAATTTTATTTCAATAATTCGCTTGCGCGTTGGGGTCTTTAGCAGTTGGAGGAAACCAGAGGACCCAGAGAAAACCCACGAGGTTGGACAGAAGACACTACTCCTTGTCAGGTACAACTGGGGAATCGAAACCACACCAGTTGACTCAATGACAGACCTTATGATACAGTGCGCACGAGACATCAAGAAAAGCAACTGAACAGGATTTATTGAATGTCATTATAAAAATATCTTGTCCTTATGCATCGTTTGATTGCTACAGAAGAACTTGCAAACTACAATACTGCTAGGCCTTCCGTTCTGCATATCGAGGGAACCACATCTCATACTTTCTCGACCAACACCAGAATCGAACATGGGACCTCCCGTTTTAGCGAGCCAGCATCTTATTCACTTGATCAGGATGTCCAATGTTATCATTCAGGAGTTTTTGATATATTGGGCAGTTTTTAGGGCAGTCCTTAAAGTACGGAGGCATTATTAAAGGGCCAATTTTGATTATACTTTGGAGAATAAAACTGCTTAATTTTGTGTTAAAAACTCTTAAAATCCTCCACCTTAGGGGCAAGGAACTAACTCAATATACGTGATACGTTTTCAAACAACTTCAACCCGTCAGTCTTCATCTGGAAACGGAGAGCGGTGTGACAAGCTGTATTATACGGTGTCTAGATAAAACCAGACTTTTATTTTATAAAATAATGTGTAGGTGAAATTAACCTTTCGTTATGAAGTACAGTACATGGGTCATGCACTGTATAGACCTCTAAAGGAACGGCAATAGAGTCACCCTACGAAAAAATTGACCGTGAATCTTAAATGGGTTACATGTCCGGATAAGTTGTATTGAGGTTCACGTCGAAACGACTCATTATTTTAAGCTGAAATCTTTAAACAAGGTAAATACACCATTCTTTTATATATTGGCACTTAAATTTCATACGTACACAGGCTTTTATTTCTGAGACGGTTAAAATCGGGTCCCTTTAAGCGATACGGGAATCTCTCACAAACTACAATATTATGGTGAATCTCGAATAGGAATATCAGTCCAAAAAGGGTTAAATTCATTTTACGTGAAGAACCTGCTAACTTTGGCCTATTCATTTTCACTTATGAAAAACTAAAATCCTGTATATACACTGGTGTTTACATAAAAGAACCTGTGACAGTTGGAATTTGGGGAAAACTTTCCTCATATCGTAATGTATGCCCGTCTTCATTAGCCCAGTTGATGCTGAAAAGTAGGATGTTAAACCCCATTTCATTTCATTTCAAATTCAAAGTTCTATGTATGTAGTTTTTTCTTGTTTATGAAGGGACTACCTACACATTGAAATACATTTATTACATTATTAAACATACATTATGCAAGAGCTAAATCTGCCTATTGCAGGTCTTTCTTTAGGCCTGGAATATGTTATCTAAATTATTATCCAGACCATAATCAACTCTCGATGTCATCGCTAGCCTGCGATGTTTATAGGATTAGGTTCCGATTTGCTCTAGATGGCATCGCTAGTCTGCGATATTTAGCGGATTGGAATACATTTTTTGAAAAATAATTTAAAGTAAAAATGGATAATCGAGACTTTTTTTTTTATTGTACCGACTTTAGTAATGATGATCGAGTGTAGCATACAATTCAAAATCTAATATCTCGGTTCAGAGTGGATCAATTTGACTGGAATTTTTTATCAGATTCTATCTTTTACTATTATAGCAAAAACAATCAACTCTTTATCTAATCTCCCATAAATCCCCTTTAATAAAAGCCACTTTAAAGAGCTGGAAATATTATCTAAACTCTCACATTCATATTAAAGGGACAATAACACTCTTGCTGGCTTGACAGCTCCAGAAAATAAATAATAGCCTTATTCAAAGTATTAGATGTTTAAGTGTCCTACCTGTTGTGTAAATTATCCATTACATCCTATTTTACTTGTCCAGAGGGTTCGAAAATATTTTTAAATCCAAGTCATATTTGAAAAGGTTTACGTTAGGCTTTTCAAATCATTTACTTGAATTTTTCCAATTTTTTAAATTAGGTGTGTTAAGATAAAATTTGTATCATCATTTAATTGGAATATTGTAAACTAGTACAATTTGTTGACTAGAATAAAGATTGGGACATATTATTCAGTTACAACACGAGTGGTATTGAGCCTTTAAATCATAAGATCTAATAACTATACAGTTCCTCCTTGTTTACACAGAAATAAATTTACTACATTTACTGATTTTCTGTTCTTCAGGAAAAAGACTAATTCAGAGCCTTTTAATTCCGAATATTTAAGTTTTGAGAGAGAGAGAGAGAGACAGAGAGAGAAATGGGAGTTTAACATCCACTCGACACAAACTAGGTCATTTCGGGACTAACATATAGTTTTTAATTTTATTTCAATAATTCACTTGCGCGTAGGGGTCTTTAGCATTGGGAGGAAACCGGAGGACCAGGAGAAAACCCACGAGGTTGGATAGGCGACCCTACTCCTTGCCACGTACAGGCGGGGAATCGAAACCACGCCAGTTGACGCAATGACAGACCTTATGATACAGCACGCACGTGCTAACCATTCGGCCATCCAACCCCCCTTTAAGTTTTGAAATTTTAAATTACACATCATATGCAACAAAGGAGTGGGTTATTCATTGAAAAAGAGCTCGAAGAACTAAGAACTAAAAAAATTAAAATGGTTTGGCCGTATTAACAAAAGCCACTTACAGTTACACAGATCCAATATTCAATTGCTGGTAATAAGCACAATATCAAAACATCCAATTTGATCAAATAAAAACTGTCACTGGATAATTTTTCTATTAGGAGCCAACGTTGAATTACGAAACATCTCTTAAATTCAATATACTATGTGTTCAAATTGACGTGTCACAATTTTTTTAACGTCCAATTTCTTCCCATATAGAATGTGTTCAAATTGACGTGTCACAATTTTTTAACGTCAAATGTCTTTGAGTAACGCCACAGACTCTCTTATCTGAACTGAACACAAGTAGCTTAGAATAATGATATGCTTTATACATGTACATAAAATCCTTTTAATGCTTGTGTTGCTCAGCCATCAATTATCATATAATCCTTTTCTTGCAACTGTTATACATTCTCCCTGAATCCTTATCTCCTTCCGTATTTATAAAGCTTAACGCCACCTTGTCACTCTTGAACATTTCCTTTAATGCACTCAATGTTACCCTTTTTAGATCCTTGACTACAAGATTTGCCTTAATTAATGTCAACTTTTCTTGTAGAAACTTTGAAAAATTCTGAATTCTCAGGAGTCTTTCATTTTCTAGCACATTCTGGAAAAAAAGAATTTAAAATATAATTTACCGAAAGTAACATATAAATCCTGATTGAAATAAGCCATTTGTTATAAAACAATGCAGGCACATTGATAATCAATCAAGATTTAGTTTTTTTAAAAAAGGTATTTTGTCAAGATGATCTCCAGAAATATAAAACAAACTTTGATGGCTGGTCTTCTCTATTGAAGGAAATAATAGCCAATTTGTCTATATAACTGTACATGCCAAAATTAGGTGCTGAAATATGAATACATGCATGTCTTGGTGGAGGAGAATGAGAGAGAGAGAAATTGGTCAACAAATACTAGGTCATTTTGGGACTAACAAATTGTTGAGAGATAGAGAGAGAGAGAGAAATGGGGTTTAACGTCCACTTGACATAAACTAGCTCATTTCGGGACTAACATATGGTTTAATTTTATTTCAATAATTCGCTTGTGCGTAGGGGTCTTTAGCAGTGGGAGGAAGCCGGAGGATCTGGAGAAAACCAACGTGGTAGGACAGCGACCCTACTCCATGTCATGTACAACAGGAGATTCGAAACCATGCCAGTTGACTCAATGACAGGCCTTATGATACAGCACGCACGTGCTAACCATTTGGCCATCCAAGCCCTCCTACATATTGTTGAATGTAGGAGTCTTTAGCAATGGGAGACAACCAAAAGGACCCGGAGAAACACATGAGGTTGGACAGGCAACCCGACTCCTTGTCACATACAAGTGAAGATTTGAAACCACGCCACTTGACTCAATGACAGACCTTATGAGCTAAAGTACATGCATTATACCATTTGGTCACCCAACCCACACCCTGTATAATAATAATACAATATGTAATGGCAACTAAATGTCGAGCATGAAAAAATAATACATTGTAATATAGAGGCAAACAAATGCTAGAAACTCCAGGACTATTTTCAGCCATGAGAAAATCTTTCAATTCTCAAGAGTACCTGACTGTTGTCACATTCAATAAGTGGATCAGTGAAATTTTTCCAACTATCAGTACCACATACTAATCAAGGAGCGAAGCACACAAATAATTCCATGACTTCAAGGTATATTTCTCGTTCACCAATAATCGAAAAAAAGATGGTAAATAAAGTTAAGTGATAATATCTTTATTGGAATGATTGAGATCTAATTGATTCTCTGAACTCCAAATTCATCAATTTCATCTTTATTCTCCTCGGCAGTCTACACATACTAGAAAATCTTTAAAGTGATTGTTGCATTTATTTAAGTCATACGTTTAAAATATATTAAAATGAAGTCTTAAAATGCATCCTGCATCACTGACAAGGGGGGAAACCATGCTTTCTTAGCTAACGTCAAACATACATTATGCAAGAACTAAATCTGCCAATTGCAGGTCTTTGTTTAGGCCTGAAATGTTATCTAAATTATTAATTAGACATTAATTAACTTATCCAGACCATAATCAACTCTTGATGTCATCGCTAGCCTGCGATATTTACTGGATTAGGATCCGATCTGCTACTCAACGATCATATCATTGATGATTAAATAAAACAAAATGGATAATCAAGTCTATGTTTTTTATCTTACCGACTTCAGTAATGATTATCGAGGTTAGGCCCAAAATTCAATCGCTAAATTCTCGGTTCAGAGTAGATCAATTTGACTAAAATTTTCAGCAAATTCCCTTTACATTATCTAGTTTGTAACTATTATGGTGAGAACTGCCAAATCTTTATTTAATCTCCAATAATGTATCTTTAAGCGGGGAATATGTTAATGGGTATCGCATCATTGCCATTGCTAAACAAAAATATTTATTTGATTAGCAGAAACCACATTTACAAAGCATAAAAATAAATAACAAGTCTTTAATTATATACCGGTAGATATTATGGCTTTTATAGATGATTCAATACAACACAGTAAAAATTTACTTATTTGATTTTCAATCAAGAGAAACTGCTAATCAATTTTTTTTCTTAAACATCCAATAATTGTTAATCAATTATTTCATTTCACACAGTATTTAACTCATTATAATTGTGTATCCATAAAATTGTGTCTCGCTAGCCTGGAGGTCGGGTGTTCGATCCCTGCATTTTCCGGCGTGGTTCTCCCTTGCTGGTGATGCAGGACGGAGGGGCTGACAAGGAAAGCTGTCTAGTCGTTGGGATGGGACGAAAAAGCGAGGTCCTGTGTCCATATTGGCGTGCACGTTAAATATTCCCTTCCAGTTGGAATTCGATATAAGAGTAGGCCGTAGTGCCGCTGTCCGGGCAAAATTTCCCTCATAGCACACTGTATGGCGTATGCCCGTCTTCATTAGCCCAGTTCGGAGCAAAACAGTAGGACGTTAATCCCCATTTCATTTCATAAAATTGTGTATCCATAATATGTTCAATTTCTACACTAGGGACCGGGTATCATTCAGATTTGATGAAAAAAGGAAAGAAACTGAGCTTACCATCTATAATCTAATACATGTATTCAGTTAATAGATTCCCATGCAGAAAGTGTTAAAATACCATCAAGATTCATCAAATAACGCCGAGTTTGTGCTACCGTTTAGTTTAAGAAACACCATTTAGTTTTGACATCGGTCATCTAGTTTATGACTATTTAGTTTAGTTTTGATATTGGTCATCCAGTTTATGACCATTTAGTTTCATAAACTAGACAACCAATGTCAAACTAAACGGAAGCACAAACTGGGTGGTTTTTGATGAATCTTGATGGTATTTTAACACTTTCTGCATGGCAATCTATTAACTGAATATGTGTATTAGATTATAGATGGTAAGCTCAGTTTTTTTCCTTTTTTCATCAAATCTGAATGATACCTGGTCCCTAGTGCTAAATCCCTATCAAAGAAGTTAGTCCCAAAATGACCTAATTTGTGTTGAGTGCACATTAAAGCCCATTTCTCTCTCTCTTGATAAAGAAGAGAGTATCCTCGTCGAAACGTCGGTTAGTATTAAACTCAGTAATTGTATATCCATAAAATTGTACCTTGTGTTAATATCTTCAATTACTAAATACCTAAACATACATTATGCAAGAGCTAAATCTGCCTATTGCAGGTCTTTCTTTAGGCCTGAAATGTTTTCTAAAGTATTAATTAGACATTAATTAATTGATCCAGCCCTAATCAACTCTCGATGGCATCAGATTTCTCCGATATTAAATAGATTAGAATGTTTCAGTGATACTTTGATTTAATCAAATATGGAGGACCGAGACTTAGCTTCGATCAACCAGTAAGGTGGTTGAAATTATTGCACACATCTGTCAAACCGTCAAAGGCTAATATCTTCGCTTGCAATAGAGTAATTTGAATGAAATTTTCAAATTATTCATTTTACATCATCTACTTTCGAACTATTATAGCAAGAACGGCTTGTTCTTTATCTAAATCATACATAATGTATCTTTAATACCTCTCTATATGACCCAAATGTCTTATCAATGTTCAGTGACCATCTTTATTTATTGGGTTATCATTTATGTGGAGGTTTAAATATTGCATGTACTCTATCTTTTTTTTTGTCTTTAAAAAAACCCACTTTAGATAAGGTGACTTAACAACACAATGACTAATGCCTAATTCATTTATTGTGTGCTCGAGCTTATCTAATCTTGAAGATAAATTTTTAAACAGGCATTATGCAAGAGTTAAAACTGCCTATTATATTATAGATCTTTCTATGACCCTCCCTCAGTGGCGGATTAAGCCCCACCAAGGCCTGAGGCAGCAGTTGCTGGAGGGCCTATTTAGTTTTTAAAGTTAGGGCCAAGGTAGTTGCTAACATTAAAAACGTAATGTAACTTTATATGCCCATAAATGACGGCACGTGGATACAATATATTAAGCAAGACATAACCGAAAACTTACAAGGATTTAACGTACATTGTTGGCCTACGTTTAAAAAATAAGATCAGATCTCCAAACAATAGGGCCTATTTAAAATGGCGTGGGCCAAATTAATTTCGGGTCAGGGCCTATGTTGATTCCCGTTGGGCCTAAACCCCACCCCCCTAACATTCATTGTCTATGCGTTTTTAATCGTATCAGACAAGTCTAAAAAATTTTTTTTTACAAAATCTTTGGGCCTGAGGCGGCAGCCTCATCAGCCTCACTGATAATCCGCTACTGCCCTCCCTCCCCCACACTTTACTAGTTCCTTACCCCTGGGACGTAAAAACCTTAAACGTATATTATGCAAGAGCTAAATCTGCCTATTTCAGATCTTTCTTTAGGCCTGAAATGTTATCTAAATTATTAATTAGACAGCAATTAACTTATCCAGACCATAATCAACTCTCGATGTCATCGCCAGCCTGTGATATTTACTGGATTAGGATCTGATTTGCTGCTCAACTTTCATTCATGATTAAATTATGAAACGGATAATCGAGACTATTTTTTTTTTTATCCTACAAGGCCAAAAATTCAATCACTAAATTCTTGGTTCAGAGTGGATCAATTTGAAATTTTCTGCAAATACCCTTTACATTATCTAGTTTTTAACTATTATAGTGAGAACTGCTAGCTCTTTATCTAATCTTCCATAATGTATCTTTAACAACTAATACCAAATTCATTTATTGTGTACTCGACTTTATCTTAAAAGGAATTTTTTTAAGGATATGTTTAGGATAAAGCACGAGACTGAGGTTATGCTGGGGAAAGAAAGACTGAAGAAAATAACCTGAGAAAAAGAAAAACCGAGGCCGGTAGGCCGATGTTTTTCTGTCAAGGGTTTTTTCTGAAATCTTTCTTCCCCAGCATAACCGAAGTCAAGAACTTTATCTTGCTTATAAACCGTCTATGTTTACATGTACGCAAGATGAGAATATCTCAGAATTCCCGCAAGAAAAACCTTATATCATGTTTTCTTATGGAAAAAAAAAAAACTTACCCTGTAAGAATAACCCGTTACAGGTTTAAAGAAAGACTTTCAGAAGAATAACCCCAAATATAACCAAAACAGCCCCCCCGACTTTCAGACC